GAGGAGGCAGCCAGCAGCCAAGGCACATCCTCATCTTGCCCCCCATTCGTGTGGTGATGTCCAACCAGCCTTCGGAGTGGGATGGTCCTAGTGTCTTACTCCCAAGGCTCATTAGTCATGTGATTCTAGGCTTCACCTCTCTGGGCTCTGTTTCCTTACCTGAAAAATGGGGCACTAATATCCAGCTCTTAGGGTTATTGTGAGGCTTAAGGGAGATCATGTAGGCACAATACCCAGTGCTAAGCCTGGCATAGGGCGTGCTTCAGCAAATGGTGAGCTTTTGAATTACGGGGCACTGTCGCTTTTCTGTATTCTGGCCCTGATGCAGGCCTAGTCCCCACTTTTCTCCAAGCCCAGCCCTCTTTCTCTGTCTCTGGGGGTGGAGTGGACAGTTGGGGAAGGGAGCAGAGAGGAGGCTGCTGTACAAGCTTCCCCTTTCCCCAGATTTCAGGAGCTCATCCAGGCTTGGGCTCTGAGAGAAGTGAGAGAGGCCGCTGGGTCAAGCCTTGGGGTGGGAGAGGAGAAGGCCACCTCACTCCCTTCCCCCTGTGCTTCCTTTTCAGGCCCTGGGGTGGCCAGAGTTGCCCTGACCTGGCCCAAGGCCAGGGCAGCACTAACAATGTCAGCCTCAAGGTAGGAGAGAAGGCAAAGGGGAGGCCAGGAAGGGGTTGGTGGGGGAGGGGCAGGCCCTGAGAACCTTCACTCATAAGTCAGGCAACTGGAGTTCTCTAATCCTCCCTTTGTCACTTATTCACTGGGTGAACCAGGGCAGATCACTCCTCACCTCTGAACCTCAGTTTCTCCATCTGCAAAATGGGAACAATAATGCCTCTCAGGGCTGCTGTGAGACATGAGATTATGGATGTAGAACATCCAGCATGGGGTCTAGATGCTCAGGAAACATGAGCTTCCCAACGCCGGGCCCCAGGGAGGCATGTAGGGTCTCCTCCTGTTCCCAGGACCCCCTTTTCCACACTTCCTGCTTTAGCTTGACCTCCCTCCCTCCCATCTTTTGTCCTTTTAACCCACTTCCTGGCATGGGCCCCCCAGGGGTGATGCTGGGCCAGTGACTTAACCTTCTGGCCACAGTTTTCCCGTCTGAGCCGTGGATTGGGCAGCACGGGGTGTCCTCCACGTGGAGTTGGCTCAAGCAGCCGCGTGTCTCTCTGTGGCCCTGACTACCATCAGTGATTACTCACATGTAATTGAGTGCTCGTTATGTGCCGGTGCTCTGCATAGATTATCTCATGAAATCTTCAGAGCACTCCCAGGAAGCGGGTACTGTTATTATCATGCCAATTTTACACACGGGGAAACTGAGATGCAAGAGGCATTGCAGCTAGGAATTGCAGAGCTAGGATTCAAGCCCGGGTCGCCTCGCTCCAGGCCCCCACAGGAATCATTGTCCTCTTCTGTCTCTTGAGGTGTTCAGCCCCTGGTGAATGAAAGGCTGCACCTATTTCACAGATGAGTAAATGGAGACATTTGGGATCAAGGGTCCCTGCTAGAAGGAATTTTGACCCAGACTTGGCTCCTCTGTTGTCAGAGCATAAATACCTCCTTGAAAACTGGGTTTTGGGGTGGTGGGGGGACAAAGGAGGCAGTGTCCTTATGGGTCTGGGATCCTGGGCCCTTTCCCCTCACCCCCACAGCCAGACTTGGCCCCAGGGGGAAACAGCAGACACAGGTCAGGTGTGTCCCATTTTCAGGGGAACCCTCTTCCCTGACTCCCTCATGTCCCAGGTACATCTCTATGCCCAGGTGTGCCTGGGGATCTCAGGTGGAGGGTCCTGGGGAGGTGGCTGCAGGCAGGGGCCTGGGTGCTTGAGGCAGGCATGCCCATGAGCCCCTAATCCCCAGGGCAGCTGGGGAAGCAGCAGCTGACCTGAGAGTTGGGCCCTCGTGTGTGACTTTATTCACGGCGGTGTCTTCTCTGGATCTCTTTCCTCACTGTAGAATGGGAGGCGTGAGTTGAGTGGGGAAGGGCCTTCCCGGAGCTCTGCCCCTTTGCCCAGCTCTCATGGCCCTGGCCGCCTCCCCTTAGGACAGCTCTGCTTCTCCGGTGCAAGGAGGGCAGTCAGGGTGAGGAGGTGCCTGGAGGGCAGGGGAAGATGCTGTCACCGGGCCTCTGCTTTCCCTCAGACCCAAGCCCAGAGCCGCTCAGAATGGGACCTTCAGGAAGGGAGCCGAGGTTCCTGGCTTTGGAAGCGACGACACGGCTCAGGAGGGCTCGCTCAGCCCCTGGGGCGCCTCCAGAGGCCAGCTGTGGGCAGCGCCTCTGACATGGCCAACTATCCCTCCATGGAGCTGGAGGGCCCCGCACTGGCAGCAGACCCCGCTGGTGCCAGGCACCCCTCATGCCCGGTGCCAGTGCCTGGGCATTTGGGACAGGAAACCCCAGACTGCACTTGCCTGCAACCCCCATACCTGGCCCCAGAGGTCCCTCTGAATCCTGAGCCACCCAGCACCATGGAAGACATGCCGCCCCGCCCAGCATCCTTTCCCAAGGCAGAAGGAGCAAAGGGCAAGCCTGCCACCCCAGGGCCAGCACTGCCAGAGCCAGCCCAGGTCCTACCGGAGCAAACCTCTGCCAGGAAGACCCGCTACCACATCACTGTCATCCTGCAGGGGCGTGGGCTGACACCTGGGGAGGAGGGTGGGGAGCCCAAACCGGCCCAACCAGCTCTTCACCCCTTCTGCCCTGAGGAATTCAGGGCCTGGCTGGATCCTCCCCAGGGGCCCCGCCCCATCACGGGGTGCCCAACTGACCCGCCCCAGGAGCCCCGGCTAAGATCCCCACGGCATCAGAAGAGCACGGCCCAGCAGCAGAAGATCCAGGCCCACTGGTCACCTGGGTCCCAACACACACGGTGAGTACAGGTCTGTCCCCATGTGGGGCGGCCGTGGGAGGAAAAACTAGCCTGGCTGCCCTTTCTGGGGTCTCTGCCTCACCTCCAGACTTCTTCAACTCCAGGCCCATTAATTCAGCTCCGAGCATGAGCTGACACTGCCATCTCCTCCCCACTCACCTTGCCTTCCTCTCCCTCCCCTCACCCACAGCCTACCTCCTGAACCCACTGCTGCTCTCCTCCCCCGTCCATCTGAGGAGTGGGAGATCCTTCATGAAGAGGCTGGGAGAGGGGTCACCTTCCCCTCAGCAACACCCACCACTCCCTGCTTCTGTTCAGGCGACCACAGAACCCACCTGGGAATAGGCACTAGCCAAGGTGCTGGGTGTCCTGGGGCAAATTGCTTAACCTCTCTGGTCCCTGAGTTGTCCAGTAGATTTGGTAGCTGGAGATGAGGTAGTTACAGGATCATGCTTTGAACTCCAGAGAGATGGGCTGCCAAAATAGCAGGGATGCTTATTAATAACACCTCAGTTGCAGCAATAATTACCTACCAGGCTCTGTGTCAGCGGCCACAGGAACGGGCAACTGAGATTCCCAAGCCTCGATTTTTATGTGTTTTGAAATGATTCTCCCAAATCTGCTTGGTGGGCTCAGAGGTGAAAGAGTGGGTTCCCTAAAACTCACCTGAGAAGGGGTGAATATGGCCCTGGGGCACTGGGCCTCACACAGGGCTCTGAGAAGTTCCTCATGTGGTGGCGGCTGTCATTTATGGTTTGTTTTCTAAGTATAATCCTGTTTCATCCTCACGACAGCCCCATGGAGTAGGACTATTCCTGCTCCACACCCCCATGCCCTGATTACAATAGGAAACTAAGGCTCAGAGAGGTTCTATCACTTGCTCAAAGTCCACTAGAAAGTGAGGGGCCTGAATTTGAATGCGGTGCCTGTGCTCTAATCATTTCTCTATCCTGCCTCTCACAGAGGCCTCGTTGGCCCTGTGCAGACAAGGGAAGGTTGAGTGTGGTTGCTGTGCGGACTCCAGGGTTTTCTCTGACCCTGTGGAGATAGATCTGGCGGCATTGTGCCGGGATGTCCAGGCCTCTGGATGGGAGGCAGGTAACTGGTCCTGCGACAAGGATGAGGGAGATGTGGGAGCGTGGCTGGCTCAGATCTGCTCGGTGACCCAGCGGGGGAGAGGGCTGCCGAGTGAGGGAAGGGGTGGAGGAGTAGGCCTTGGAGAGAGGACAGAAGCAATAGGTTTAGCTGGGGGAGTGGGGCTGTACCTGCTACTCCCCGGCTATTTCGGGTCCAGGTGGATAATGACGGACTCTGGCGGGAGGCTAGGGTTCCCTTAGAGAAGAGGAAGCGGACCTCCAGGGACATCCTCCTCCTATGTCCCCAGGGTTTCTGGGGCAGGATTGGCAAATATAGGGGTGGGGAGGCAAGACACAGTTGGGACTGCAAGTGGGAATGCCTATGCATTCAAGGTTGTGTGTCTGTGTTTGACTGTAGGCTGTGAATTGACTGTGTGCGTGCATTATGAATGTGTGCGTGCATTATGAATGTGTGCGTGCATTATGAATGTGTGCGTGCCATCGTGTCTGTGACTGGTGTGTTGCTGTGTCTTGAGTGTTTGTAGCTCTGACTGTGTGTTTGACTGTGTAAGTCAACATACTGGTAAGTGTCTGTGTTTTTGTGCCTGTGCTACTCCCTGGGTCTGTGCCGGCGGCTGGCTGCGTGTCAGTGTGTGCCGGTGTGACGCAGCATGTGTCTGTGGGATGTGGGCCTGTAGACTGGTTTGGCCTAGTTTGGGGGTGACAGGTAAGCGGGGAGAATCCAGGACTTGTTGGGTTAGACAAGGCTCTTTCCCACACTCCCCTCCGCCCCTTCCTCAGCCTCTCCCTTCTCAGCCCCACACCTTGTGTGGAGGTCACAGGTTACCCTGCCAACCAATTCACTTCTGAGATGGGGCCCTGGAGAAGAGAGGGAACGGGCACTTCTGCTGGCCTGGGTCCTTGGGGTGTGTCTTCAAAGCATGGACAAAAAGGGGAGCTACATGCAGGCAGATTCCAGCATAGTGTGAGGAACATTCTAGCAGTCCTGACTGTCCAGGGATTGGTCAGGTCAACTGTCAGATGGTGACCTCCCTATCCCTAGAGGTGTGCAGGCAGAAGCGAATGACCGCATGCTTGTGGAATGAGTGTCTATCAGGGGTGTTGTCCAGGGGCTGGGCTGGGGCGAGAGAGGCATTGCATTCTGATTATGGGGAGGTCACTGACAATATCTAATTTGACTATCAATGGCTTCCTGTGAAGCGGATTTCCTGTTGCTTTGCCAAAGCCAATGGGGCCTTCCAAATGTGGTTCCTGCTTTTATGCTAATTTGTTGACCCCTGGACTCCCTGGACTCTTCATGGGAAAGTTGGCTTTGGATGAACGGAATCAGGGACTAGGGCAGTGATGGCGAACCTTTAGAGCTCGGCGTGCCAGCATTTTGAAAAACCCTAACTGAACTCTGGTGCCGTGTCACATATAGAAATTTTTTTATCTTTGCAACCATAGTAAAACAGAGACTTATATTTTTGATATTTATTTTATATATTTAAATGCCATTTAACAAAGAAAAATCAACCAAAAAAGTGAGTTCCTCATTTTTTTGGTTGATTTTTATTTGTTAAATGGCATTTAAATATATAAAATAAATATCAAAAATATGTCTTTGTTTTACTATGGTTGCAAATATCAACAAATTTCTATATGTGACATGGCACCAGCGTTAAGTTAGGGTTTTTCGTGTCACCTCTGACACGCGTGTCATAGGTTCGCCATCACTGGACTAGGGCATCCCCTAGCACAATTAGCATTGAATGAATGAATAAGTGAATGAGTGAATGAACAAATAAATGACTTAGAACCCTGGCTTTGCCCCTTACTATTAATGCCATTAGGGACAGGGAATCCCAGCAAATAGCAGTTGCTATTATTGTTTTTCAGAAACAAAGAGGAGACTCAGGGGAAGTGAGGGGATGAAGCTCCATGTGGGGGAAATCCCAGCAAGGACAGGGGTTCTGTTAGAAGAAAGGGGGCTCCTTAGTGAGAACGGGGGAGAGGGTCAGGGCCTCAGTGAAGGGCTAGGAATCCAGGGCCTAAGGTGTCTGATTGTGTCCTGCTCCCAGGACTTCTGCCTGGGGAAAGGATTGGGACTCCATCTCAGCCCACCGCCTTTCCCATACACAAGGCTTTTCTGGGGCCACTCAGACCCTGTCTCGGGCCAGGCCACATGCTGTCATAGCTGCCAGCGGTCCCTGAGTCAGGCCAGGCTTCCCTAGGCCTCAGTCCCTTTCATCTCTGCCCCTCATAAAACCTGAGTCACTGCCAGGGCCACAGGGCAGGGTCAAAGTTCTAGGTTCCACCAGTTTAGTAGAGAGGAAGATAGAGATGGGGGAGGGAAACTGGGGGCATGGGTCCATTTCTGGCCTTAACTTCGTTTATAGTGGTCTGCCTCGTGAAGGGGAGGAGCGGACCTGAAGACAGGTTGGGCCTGAGGCTGGGGATGAATGGGTTGACTTCACTGGTCCTTGGAGCCTGAGAATAGGATTGCCCAGGTCAGCTGCCCTGGTCAGCGTGACTTGGAAGTCAGAGTAGAGGCTGGATGGCCCCTCCAGGCCTGCTGTAACCCCCTTTAAAAGCACATTTCCAAACCATTGCATCTCAATTGGCCAGGTAAATACATAAGGGAGTTTTGTATGGTGATTAAGCACCCAGGGCTGGCATTCAAGACTTGCCTCTGCTACTGTGTAACTCTGGGCAAGTTTCTTAACCCTCATGAACGTTCCCCCTGCCCTCATCTGCTAAACGGGAATGTTTGTTCATAATTTATTAATACCGTACTCTGTAGGAGTTATCAAGTGCATGGAGTTCTTTTGAGGATTCCATAGGGCAGTGGACATAAAGGAGTTAGCAAGGTGTTTGGCACAGAGTAAGCCCTCAACAGATGGCTGTTGTTGTTGCTGTCACTATTAAAAAGGTTCACCAGAGAGTTCCTAGGGAGCTTAGAAGTCTCCTCAGACAGTTGTTATAATCACCCCCTATTTAATAAAGGAGGTAATGGAGACCCAGAGATCAAGGAGGTTCAGAGAAGAAATAAGACCTTAAAAGAGGGAAGGTAAGAGGTGCCCTCCGGGAGAGGACCGTAGGCACAGCTGGATGTGCTCAGAGCCTTGGCCTCAGGGCCAGGAGGGAAGATGCCTGGACATGGGCTTAGCTACGACTTCAAACCCCAGCTTGCAATTTTGCAGGTGCATCACCCTGGGCCAGTCACTCCTTCCTCTGACCCTTGGTTTCTTCATCTGTATGATGGGGGAAACACTCATAGAGGAGAACATTGAGGGAGAGTGCACGCAAGTCCAAAGTGCTGGGTCCTGAGGAGTTTCACTAAGACCCACAGATGTACCCAGAAGGTCACGCCGCATGCTGGTGCTAGTACACACACGCACACCTGCTAGTGTTTGCTCACAGTTTCCCCAGGGGACACCCGGGAGTTTGTGAGCCAGTATTTTAGTTTATAAGATGAGTTTTTGTTCTTTCTCTCTTATTTTATCCTGACAATAACCCTATGAAGCACATACTCTTATTATAACACTAGAGGCCCAATGCATGAAATTCGTGCAAGAGGCCTTCCTTCTCCCGGCTGCCGGTACCGGCTTCCCTCTGGCACCCGGGACCAGGGCCTCCCTCTCAACCTCAGCTTCGTCTGGAAGGACGTCTGGTCTGATGAGCATATTACACTTTTATTATAGATTTTGTGGCTTGGAGCCCTGATGCCTGAAGGGGAAGAGTGGCCACTCAGGTGATCTAGCTAGTGAGTGGCAGAGTCAGGGGAAGCCCAGCTCTGCTCAAGGCCAAAGTCTGTCTTCCCTCCCCTCCCTCCCCTCCCCTCCCCTCTCCTTTCCTTTCCTAATAATGGCAGGAACAGGGTCAGAATAATTGCCTAGTTTCTAGCTTTCTGGTTTTCCAGTTTGGGGCTCCTGGAGGACTAGAGTCCCAGCCCCATCCATAGACCAGTGGGTCAGACCATATGCCTTTCTCGCCATCCAGGCTTAGGCCACAGCTTCACCCATGGAAGGACGGTGCTATAGGGGATCACCTGAAAGTGGGGAGAGGGCTGAGAGCATTATGCCCATTTTACAGATGAAGAAACAAAGGTCCAAAAGGTCACATGACTTGCCTGAGGGTACCCACCCTGATCTTGGCAGAGGTAGTTATCTGTACTATAGGGAGCTACCTGCATACCCTTGACCCTGTCTCTCTTTTTCCTGGCACCATCTGCAGGGAGCTGGGCCACAGGGAGCCAAGGACACTTCAGGACAGGTTGCTGGGGCCCAGCATGGAGGAGGCAGGTGGGCCCCCAGCTCGGGCCGAGGCCCGGGTGGTGAGTGCCAGGCTGACATGGCGACAGCGGCCCCCTGCCAAGGAAGAGGTGAGACATCACTTTCACAAGGTGTCCCTGGTGTCCGAGGCCCAGATGGAAGCCCCCCAGGAGGAGATGTTTGAGTACAGCCCCCGTGGAGAGAAAGTCAATGGCTTCGCTGCAAGGAGAGAAGAGACTGTGAATCATCAAGCCCCCCCGGTTGGGGCTGGTTCCAAGAGCTGCCAGAGCCATGGGCCCATCTTTTCCAAGAAGTACACACTACCCCCCAAGGAGAAAAGGCTGGTGAGGAGGCTGAAAGAGGCTGTGGACCAGTGTGATGGCAGCTCCCAAGACTCTAGGACTGAGCCACCACGCCTGGGAGCCATGGCCAGGACGGAGCTCTTGGTGCCCCTGCCGGGGCCCCGTGAGCCGAGCCCCCACCCATGTGTGAACCGTGAGGAGCGGCAGGTGACACGCACTGTGCGGACCACTGTGGTGGTAGGCGGGCATGTGGCCCGAAGGGTGACCAGCTCTGTGACCTTGGAGCCCGTGCTCCCGGGCGAGGCCCTGCCAAGGGGCCGCAATGCTGTCCGGGCAGTGGTGGTGGGCCCCAGGCCTGAGGGCTCGCCCAGCCGCAGTCAGGCCCTGGAGCTGCTAAGTAGCCGGCTTCCCAGGCCCATGGCTTCTGTGTCAAGGAGTCCAGGTCTGGGCAGTACAGAGGGCACAGCCCTGGGGCAGCTGCCTGCGATGGGGACAACAGAGCCAAAAGGCAGATCTGCCCTGGCCCCTGTAGGCATCCCTGAGGGTGCTCACCCACCTCAGAACCAAGAGGCCCCTGCAGCCCATCCAGACCCAGACCAGGGCCAAGCTCTGGGTGCCAAGGCCCATAAGGTCCCAAGGGTGCAGGGAGCCTCCAACCCCACCCAGCTCCCTCTCCAAATCTCTCAGGGCCCGGCATTAGTACCCTCTTCTCCCAGAATCCAGATCCATACCCCCTCCCCTGGCCTAGACCACCTTCCTGAGCAGCTTGTGGTGCCCACTCACCCCAGGGCCCAGCCTGCTCTGGATCCCAGGGGACCCCAGGCCCTGCCCTCTGTAAAAACGGAAGAGCTCACAGATACCCCTGCTGCCACCATCATGCCCAGGGTAAGGAGTGAGGTTGTTACGGTCCCTGGAGAACCCCCATCCCCTACAAGAAGAAAGGCTGTCTCTAGCCCAGACAATCTTTCTGCTCCATCTTCCCCAAGGAATAAGGTTGTTCAGGACCCTGAAAATGTCCCTATCTTCTCCCTCACCCAGAAAGACATGGTGCAGGGCCCTGATGTTCCTGCGGACCCCTCCCCCACCCAGAAAGAGGCTGTGCAGGCTCCTAGTGCTCCCGCTGCCGCATCCCCCAAACCGACCGAGGTTGTCCAGGGCCCGGAAGATGGGCCTAGCACCCAAAAGGAGGTTGTCCAGGGTAGTGAAGGCAGCTTTGGCGCTTCCCTCACCAAGGAAGAGTCTGCTCAGGGCCTGATTGCTCCTGCTATCCCATCCCCCCAGGAGGATAAGGCTGTCCAGGGCTCTAAAGGGAGCCCTGTCTCATCTCCCACCCAAAAAAAGGTTGTAGAGGGTCCTGCTGTTCTTCCTGCTCCCTCCTCCTCAGTGGGCAAGGTGCTCCCCAGCCCAGGAGGCCCCTCTGCCCCAGAGCCAATGGAAGCAGAGGCCAGCCAAGAGTCCCGGCTTATCCCTGGCTCCACTGAAGACAAGATGCTCCCGGAGCCATCGAGGGAGGAGGAGGAGCTCGTCCTGGCGGCTGACCTGGAGATGTTCCTGGACACCCTGCGGAGCATGGAGCCCCCCGAGATCCTCCGCACCCACCGGCTGCCACGAGCCCCCCGCTCCTCCTACCTGGCCATGTACGCCACGCTGCCTCCGATCGAGGAGGACCAGCCCAGGCCTTGGGTGCTGGGACCCAGCCCCCAGGAGGTGCCAGCACTGGAAGAAAAGGAGGAAGAGGAGGAGGAGGAGGAGGAGGATGAAGAGGAGGAGGAGGAGCAGCCAGAGAACCCCTACCTGAGTGATGATGAGAAGCTCCAGCGCAGGCAGGAGAAAGCTGGGCCCGGGCCCTCCTGGGACTTCCTCCCTGCCAGGCCCCCCCAGGCCTCTTACTCGCCTCTGGAGATGATGAAGAAGCATGTCACAGATGCCAAGGGCTCCCAGCCGGAGCCAGGGCCAGAGCGGCAGGCGGGCACGAGGCCCACCTCCCGCCTTCAAGGCAGTCTTTTCTTTGGGGGTAGGGTGTCTGCCACCAAGGAGGCCCCCACCTCGGAATCACTAGGCACAAAACTATCCGCTCTGCCTTCCCATGGGGCACCAGGGCTCAGAAAGGTGCCAGGACAGCCGCCCCTGCTCTGCAGTGACAGGTCGCCGCCAGAGAAGCCCCCGTGTGCCAGGCCCCCTGAGGGCTGGGTGAGTGAGGCCGTGGGTGGCCAGGGAGGGTGCCAGGCCTCACCAGGGTTTGGATGGCATGAGGACCATGGTACTGGGAGGCAGAGTCTTCAGATGCAGAAGTTGGGCCTGAGGTATGGCTTGTTGTGATCCTGTGCAAGCCACGTCTCTCTGGGCCTCGGTTTCCCTGTCCAAACAGAAGAGGTTTGCACGGTCGATTCCAAAGACCTTAATGGCTCCAATCTCTTGGAAGCCGGAGAAGGGGAGTGATAGGGGGCCAGCTCCTGGACAGGGTGGGTTGGGACAAGTGTGGTGTCCTCTGTGCGGGTGGAGGCTAACAGGGAGGATGTGGGATGCCTGGGATGGCAGGTGGTGGGAGGCAGTAAGCAGGCAACCTATGAGACTTCTTATCACTGCCTCCCTTCCAGAGCCCGGCATCGAAGACCCAGGGCAAGCTGAACACCAGGCCAGGAAAGGTAGGGGGTGGAGGGCAAGTGTGTGGGAAGGGCAGCAGGAGGCGGGAGCTCAAATCAGAGCCTGAGGACCCCCCTCTGCGTTTTGTCCAGGTGGTCCTCTTCTCAGAGCCCGGCTGCCAAGGCAGCAGCAGGGAGGTTTGGGAAGACATTGCTGATGCCTCCAGCTGGGCCCACGTGGCCTCCATAAGAGTGGTCCGAGGCTGGTGAGTGCAGAGTGCTGGGAACCGGGGGCAGTAAGCACAGCGAGAGGTGCCCAGCCAACCTGGCAGAACACCCCTGAGCTACCCAGAGGTGCTGCCTTGTGGGTACATCCTCTCCAGCCCAGTGACCCTGGGTTTCTGTGCCCACAGCTGGGTGCTGTATGAAGAGCCAGAGTTCCGGGGCCGGAAGCTGGTCCTGCCTGAAGGAGATGTGGAGCTCAGAGCCGCGGGGCCCGCGTGGAGTGTCCACGGCATCGGCTCCCTCAGGAGAGTCGTCCGGGTGAGCGGGCTGGGGTGGGGAGCCAGATGTTGCCCTGTCCCCCTGGGCCCCGGGCCGTGAGGAGGGAGTTGGAATCTCTCAGGGACAGAGATTTCAACTCGTACTGGGTTGGGGGCAGAGGGGGTTTATTATGGACTCGCCTATAGATTCCAGACCTTGGAGCCAACTGGGGAGTCTAGCCTGGCTTGGGGAGGCAGGGCAGGCAGAGGCCAACCCCCAGCGTGGGAAAGCAGCCTGAGGAAGTGTGAGAATAGCAGAAACAGGTGGGGTGGATATGGGTGCTCCCCTCCCCTCAAAGCCCAGGGCTCTTAGTCCCACAGTAAGACCCAAGGTGCCTTGGACGATTGTTCATTCATTGGCCCAAGCATGCTTCATAATGTCTGCTGTGTGCCAGCCACCAGGCCAGGCAGTGAAGGCTGGAGGAGACTGACCTCTGCCCTGCAGGACTCAGGGTCAGGCTAGGGTCTCAGCGTGGGGTTCGAAGCAGGAAAACCATATAATCAGATTAGCAGTTTATAAACACTCCTCTGGCTGCCAGGAGAAGAGACTGGATGGGGATCCCAGAGGCAGGAAGACCAGGAAGGGCTGTGATTTCCAGCTGAGGAGCGCTTCTGAATTTTGAGGGAGGGGGGTGTGGTTTGTAAAGGCATAGTTAATATTACAGTTTCATATTTGTAAAGTGGTAGTCTACAAACTACCAAAATTAAGTTTGACAAAATCATCTTGGCTGCTAGGGAGAACCAGAAGAGAAAGCAGGGCCAATCAGATGTGTGTTTTGTTTTAAAAAATATTTTTATTGATTTCAGAGAGGAAGGGAGAAGGAGAGAGAGAGGAACATCAATGATGAGAGAGAATCATTGATTGGCTGCCTCCTGCACACCTCCTACTGGGGATCATGACCTGAGTGGGAATTGAACCATGACCTCCTGGTTCATAGATCGATGCGCACCCACTGAGCCACGCCCGCGGGGCTGTTTCGTTTCGTTTTTAATGAGAGGAGGAATAACTCTGAGTCCAGAGCTGTTGCAGCCCTCCTGGTAAGAGAATACGAGAGCTGATGATTCGTAGCTAGGGCAGTAGCCCAATCATGCAAAGGAGGGGTGTTTTCAAAGCCTCTCCAGAAACACAGAAATGTTTGTGGACAGTTTATTGTGATCTTCTCACAATAAAGTCATCGTTGTGTGGGAGGTAATGAGGTACAAGAGAAAAACAGGGGCTTTGAAGTCAGGTGGACCCGGATTCCTTTGATTAATCCAGCATTGGACACTCAGTGTATTCCAGGTCTGAACAGAGGCAGGGATCGTACATAAAAGAATGGTCAAAGTTAGACCCCCAGAAGCAGCTGTCCAACTCGTCTACCCCTCCACCGGCTGGAAGCCGGGTTACCAGAGGGAAGGCGGAAGGCAATGGCACTTGGCAGGCTCTTGCTGAGAACTTTGGTCTCAGATCCCCAAGGTTCAGGGCGGGACCAGCATGGGCTTTGGTCTTGGGTTGTCTGGTCAACCTTAAGAATACATCCCAGTCTATCTCCTGGCTTCTGGGAGACAGTCACAAAGTTTTCCCAGAAGCCCCCCGGAACCCCGGCTGCGCAGACTTGGGGAAGCAGGTACAGAAGGGGGTAGTCTCTGAGGGGTGGCGCTTTACACTTCATTCTTCCACCCCTCTTCTGCAGGACTACATCACCCCAGAGATCAGCCTGTACTCGGAGGAGGGTCTCAAGGGGGAGCAAGTGAAGCTAACCCAGTCCTTGGAGGACCCCCATAGCCTGAAGAGGCCCCTGCAGGTGGCATCTGCCACTGTCTCTGCAGGACTGTGAGTCTGGGCTGTTCTGGAATCCCTCCATTTATCATTCGCTGTGCTGGGTGCTGGGACACATAAGCAAAAGGAGACAGTTCCTGGCCTCAAGAAGTGCTCAGTCTACTGGTGGGGACAGGGAAATAAGCAGATAGCGGCAGTTCAGGGTTCCAGGAGGGGGAGCACGGAGCTGTGGGAGCACAGAAAAGCACTGCACCAGCCTGAAGTCATGGAAGCCTTCCAGGAGGAGGGGATGCCTTGCTGGGAGGAGTTGGCCCGGAAGAATAGGTCCCTGAGGGCAGGGGTTGTGCGTGTATACGTGTATAGTTCGCTCAGAGTCCTTCCTGCCTGAAGCAGAGCCTGGCATGGGATAGAGGCCCCTAAATATTTGTTGATTGAATGAACCGGGGAAGAGTATCTCTAGAAACGGGAACAACACTTGCAAAGGCCCAGAGGTGAGAGATCTCAGCTTTGAAAATTCAGTCTGGTCAGAGGAAGCAGCAAACGGGGAGATGTGAGGCCCAGGAGGAAGGCAGAGGGACAGACCGAAGGGCCTCTGTGCGGCTAGATTGTATTGTGAGGCCAACAGGACATTAACTGGGGAACTTTAAGCAGATCTGTGCATGAGAAGGAACTCTCCAGCTGCTGTGTGAAGTGAGGGAGGGCCAGGCCAGAGGAAGGGGCACTGATGGAGTGGCTACTGCTCGAGATGATGGGGGCCTGAAGTGTCCTCCAGAGTCCCCTTGACAGAGGCCTCTCCCTCAAAACTTCGTTCTTCTCTCTAAACCTTCCCTCCCATCCACCAGCCTATATCCCTGGGTATCTGGGGTTCAGCCACCTCTCTGCCTCCCCCAGGTGGCTGCTGTACCCCAAACCCTTCTTTGAAGACACTCCCTGCATCCTGGAGCCTGGAGAGTACCCCACCTCCAAGGACTGGGGTACATCAGACCCCAGCGTGGGCTCCTTGAAACCCCTGAGTTTGGTAAGGAATAGGTGGCCCCAAGTGGCCTTGACCTGCAGTCTGAGGGAAGAGGCAGGGCCTGGGAGCTCCTACTGGGAATGGGATTGGAGGAGAGGTGGGGGGTTGGCCATTTTTAGGAGCCTCAGGATCAAGTAAATCTTAGGCCACCAGCCCCATCTGCCTCCCCCCACCTCTGGGCTGGTGGCTCAGCTCTGTCTCTTCTGCAGGGCTGCCCAAGAGTGGAGAAGCCAGGGGAGCCCAAGGTAAGAGTCTGGGTTTCTGGGTCAAAAAGGGCCTTTGGGTGGGTTGTGTGTATGTGTGTGGTGGCTTTTGTGGCCTGAACTGGAGGACAGGAGAGGAGGGTCCTGGGAGCCACAAGCTGGGCTTGGAGGACGGAACCTGGTGGATTCACTGGGAAATGGCTTTTGATGTGTAAGAACCAGGTCAGAGAAGAGATGGGAGTTAGGGCCCGGAGCTCCGTGAGGGAGTGGGAGGGCCTGGCTAGGGGCTGATGCTGGGCAGAGCCCTCCTGGGCTGGCTGGGTGTGTTTGGGTCCAGATCCCTCCCCACACGACACCACCATCCCGTTCCCCAGGCTGTGGTGTATGAGGCCCCAGGCTTTCAAGGCCAGAGCTGGGAAGTGAGCCGAGACATCTACAGCCTTCAGCAGCCGGAGGACGGCCACAGCCCGCGCCTGGCCTCTGTGGGGTCCCTGCGAGTTCTTGGAGGCTGGTGAGGACCCAGGACCCTTCCTTCTACCTTATCCTCCCCCTGGCCTCTGCCCCGGGAGGGGGGAGTGATCTGGGCGCCTGGGGGTGGGGGCAGCTGTCTTACACATCCAGGGGCCTCCTGTGACTGTCTGTCTGCCTCCGCCCCCCCCAAGCTGGGTTGGCTATGAGAAGGAAGGCTTCCGGGGCCACCAGTATCTGCTGGAGGAGGGGGAATACCCTGATTGGTCACACTGGGGAGGCTATGACGAGGCGCTGACCTCCCTGCGGGTCATCCGGACGGTAAGCAAGGCAACTGGGCCATCCCTCTGCCTCCAGCCACAGCCATGCCCTCCCCACTGACCCCCACCCCCCACCCCTTCAATTTGTTGAGAGAAGAATCCATGTTCCATCTCCCTGCTCTCCGGAGCGCCGGAAGTGCTCCCCAGGTCCAGTTCTCTCCCTCCTGCTGCTTTCCCCAGGCCACACTGGCCACCTCGCCCCAGAGTCCCTTGGGTCGCCTCCCTGAGGTCTGGTCACTCCCAGGGGTTCAGTGGGCGGGCGGGCGG